TATATTACTACATTGATCATATTCAGCTAGGTAGATTTCATTATTATTTTAAATCACTAAAATCGATTTTAACTTGTTAAATTGCAATTATCTTTTCTGAAAATTATCATAAATCTTACTCACATCATTATTTTATGAAATAAACTTTGCAAAAATTAAATTTGATCATCAACTATATTCTAAATTAATTAAGTTTATTTAATTTTAATAAGCAAATTATTATCATTGTTAAGTTCATATAGATCTAAAAGTGATATGTTCTTTTATTTTATCAAGAGTTTTGTCTCTGTAAGAAGTGCAGATTAGATTCCAATAGCATCTGTTTTAATTTTAGAATGAAACATCCATTTTCTTTTCAATTTCCAATTAACTTCTTAAATAATAATAACAATAGAGCAATCATATTAAACTGCACATAGTTTTGTTCCAGATTCATTTATACTTAACTAAGAATGCACATATTCAGATTTCCTTAATATCTAAACCATGCTAAATCCATCCTACTTCTTTTCCCAAAAAGTTAAATACCGATCTTTCGCAAAAATTAATAAATCCTCGATCGGATTCATAATAATGAAAAATGATGGGCCAATTATTTTGGTTTATTGTTTATATTGCTATTCGATTGAATTCCAAAGCCAAATTGTTATTTCATCATCTATGCTACCTATTATAAATTGATTTGAGTTTTTCATAAAATATAAGCAAGAGCAATTTAAATCTTGCAAATCTGTTATTTAAATTACATTAAATTGTTAACAATCCTTCTTTAATACTTGAAATTATCCTTTATAAGTTAGTACCAATATTGATGCATCGTGATTAGTTACCATTCCTGTTGGTTAATTAATTTAAGGAAAAGAATGAACAAGATTAAAATTGAAATTCGGATAAGTTTATCTTCTTAAATCAAGTTGATTATCCCGATTAACTGTAACTAAATAATTTCCATCATCACTGATTTAAACTAGTCTAATGGATCCCTATTCGATATTGCACTTATATTCAACTGTATTTAATTCTTTGTCTTTAAATTGAATGAAGTTGCAATAACAACCATATTAAAGTAAGAGTAATTATTATGATTGAATAAACTTTAAGAATTTGCATTCCTCTAATGAATATTTCTAAATTAAGATCTATTTAGTCATTTAAAATTTTAAGTCTGTAGTGTTGAATTAATAAAAAAGGATACCGTTAAATTAAAAAGTCACAACGAATGATTCATTAGTAATAAAACACAGTTTTCTCCCAAAATCCTTATTTTTTATTTCCTAAACTATTTCCCATTTAAAGCCTGATTGATTAAGTATAAATATTTTTTTTGACTCCTCAGATAGAGTTATTAAAATAGAGGATTCTTAATTTATATCTAAATCCTTCGCATAACAATTTGGCAATTCTATTGATTAAGTTTTTTACCATACTGCTTATTTATTTTTAAATAAATCAATTGAATCAGATCCTCCAATTATGATTAAATTTTCATCATAACTAAGTTTTATTGAATAAAGCAAATTTATTCGAATTTCATAGAGTCTCTTACAACAGTTTAAATTAACTATTGAATAGAATTAGATGGTATCTTTTCTATTTTTCTCAAATGTTGTTATTAATTAATTTGATCGTTTAGCAAAATCTAGTTGATAAATCCAAGTTGATTGAACAAAATTTTATGAGATCATTTTCAAGTTTTTCATTTAATAAAATTTTAGCATCTAGTCTTTAACCCCAAATGCGAAAATGGATGAATCCTTAGTTATTTCAATCTATTAAGGGAATTGTTTATTGACATGGATAGATTATTCAATTGAAGAAAAAAATAACTATACTCTCAAATAGAATTATAATTAATAATAATTTAAAATTTAAATTATATAATTATAATCATTCATAATATAAAGTGATTATAAATAAATGTGAGTTAATAATATCTTAACTTTCAAAATTAAACTTGCTTCCTATCTATTCTTAAAAACATATCACATCTATTCAATCCATAATCCTATTTGTAACGATTATTATTTGTTATTTTTTATTTTCGCAGACTAGGACAGAGAAGAAATGGAGTTTTAATTATGCCATTTAGTGAGATTTAAGCAGTTTTAGAATTTGAATTTCTTTATCATGGCCCTTTCAAATATTTTGCACAAACTTCCTCATCTTTTATTTAACTTTTAATTTCTCAATTACGTTTCTGTCGTAGAGTTAATTTAGACATTCTGTTTGTTTAATCAATGCATAGTAATTATTAATCGATTCAAATTAAATGAGTATAAACTATTTTTATCATATAAATTATTTATTTTAAACTTGAATCACTATTTATTCATAAAAGGACCATTTTATTACATATTATTTGTAATGTTCATCTAATGCTACTGATCAAATTTTATCAAAACAGGATCAAATGTTTAAGGATTCCAATCAGAGGGTTACTGAAGTGGTTAAATGTAATCAGGCGGAATTAGATACAACATTACTATCTAGAACTATATAACTGGTATTGCCGAACAACAAATACAACCTTATAAATATCAATGAAAGAAACCTTAAAATTTAGGAGAAATCTTTAGATAATATTATTGATTCACAATTTTGCCATTAGTTGTCGGAGTTAATACAAGTTAAGGTCTTTTTTGATTCATCAGAATTATTTCAATAATTCTGCTTTCGGATCCAATTTGCTTAAATCCAGCTTAAATTCCTGGAATTCTTTAAGTTAGTATCCTTTGTGTATATTTATGTGAATTAGCATTTGCCCTTAATATCAACTCTTTTAACAATTCAATATCAAAATATTCAATGTTCAAATTGCAATTCGAATTATCTATCTCAAGAGTCAATTTAGCAGTATCTCCTTGCAGATAATGATTCTTATCACAGAAACTCTTTACTCTCGAGGTCTTCATAATTATTATGCTCTTATAAATACCCCTTTATTAATACAACAACAAACATAAATGTTATTCATTCTTTCTTACTGCTACCCAATCACCTCTTATTTAATTGGTTCTCTAACTAGGAATTCCTATTTGTTTCTAATGCTTGGTTTATTTGGTTCTGATGATTTAAATTTTGCTTTAACTTTGTAGGTTATATAGCCACTATCATGAAGCCCTTTATAATCAAACGATCCAGGAATTTAAGGATGTAGTTAAAATTGAAAAGGAAAAACATATTACCCAATTTCAGCTATTTAATTTTAGAATGTGTAAATGGGAATTGATTAAGAATAGAATTTGTTTTTCCCTCTATAAGTTCTTTGCTCGTCACCACTTCCCTCATCCCATTCAGTTTTCTCTTTTCCTACAATTGTAAATTCAATGATATTTCCTTTATAGCCTGTTTTGCAAATGTTCAAATATATATTACCTAAAATTATATTAATTATATACCTCTAGCCAAGTCACCTGCAAAATAAAAAGGCTATTCTGTTCTTATTGCAATGTCCCCATAGTCAGACTTCCTCTAAGAGTTACCCATAAATATAAAATGATATTATTATTTAACTATAATTACATCTTTAACATTTAAGTATCCAATACATGATAATCTTTTTTGATTAATCTCTTTATTATTTTACTTAGATAAAATCATTGAAGAATAATATTGAATAAAATAATCACTAAATAGAAAAGGGTAGAACTAAAAATTTTTTTAAATACTTAAGGAT